GTTGGCCAGTATTGTGACCTTACACGTATGTGCTAGTCGGGTTGCTGCACATAATGTTGGGCTAGGCTGGCTGGCCCCATGCAACGAACTTGTACGTGTTTGCAGCGAATAGCTGTCCTCCGAACATTGGACTGCAGAACGATATACACGTACATTTATATAATGTAAATCAAAGCCAATCGTAGCGCAGGTATGCCTCACGTGGTATGGCGCTGTGGCACACTGGGTCTGCCAGCTCGGCTAGCCTGGCCATGCACCCATGTGGCGTGAAGATAATCGTGTACCGGTAGACCGCAACACGTAAATGTAAAGTCAGAAACTTACAGGAAATATTGGGTATTTTTTCAGGGCATCACTGCCAGGAAGAATGGGACACATGGCCAGCTTTGACCGTAAACAAAGTGGGAATTTTTTAGGGCACCACGGCCAATTGTAAGGGCACCGACTGCCACAGCTGCAGTGGCTGCAGTGACATTCGAGCACTGCATGCCCGTGAAATGCAAATGTGAACAGAAATGTTTTTCACAAACTTTTCCATTCATAATGTCAACTTTAAACAGTAATGAACTGTATGCATACATGTACATGTGGTTAGATGAGTGGTTGGTAAAAAAACAATAACACAAACAATTACTGGTATGTAATTATACATGTAGCACGATTCCATCATTGTGCTAACGTTACAGAAGAAAACATAACAGATAACACAAAACATTTACAGACAAAATTGAGGGAAACCAAACAAAAAGAAATCAACTAAGCATGTGTGTTTTAAGGGATGCTTGAACATGAGCCTAATCCTATTGTTGATGGGAAGTCATTCCACAATCTGGGGAAGAAAAAGAGAATGACATCTTGGAAAACATCCTTTGACCTCTAGGTACCATAGTGTCTGTAGCAGATCGTTGACCCTGTCTTGTTGATTTCTAAAGCAAAATTCTGCCCAAGAAGTTAAGTGAGAGCAGAGTGAACCCATGAATTGTCTTGTAGACATGCATAAGAATTTTGAAAATGATGTATTTTTAAATATGAAGCCAGTGAAATGATTCCAAAGGGGCAAGGATGCATGTCAGTGTAGCACTTGAAAATGATCCGACCTGCCATTTTCTGCACATGCTGAAGCCGGAAACCAGCCAAAAGACAACTTAAACTGATCAAAAGATTTTTGCAAAACCGATCAAAGATTATTTTGTCTGACATTTCCTTTATACATGTTCGGGATATATCGGTCAATTTCAGATGATCTTCTATAAAAAAACAAAACCCAATCTCAATATTTTAAAGATTAACAGAGCAAAGTTGGTGCAAAATACTATCAAAACAGAGCACAATTTACATATACTATGGAATTGCCAACGTACAATGTACATGTAGGTGTGATATACATGTATATACCAAAAGTGTGGAATTTACATGCGTCTGAAAGGCAGAGGGCAAGCCAGAAGTGGTCAATGAAATGCGTGGGAGAGAAAAAGGGGAAGAGAGAAAAGAGAATACAAGTGAATTTTCCAAAGCATGTTGTTTTGCTAACATCACAGATGAACACAGTGGCATGGTGACGTCAGCACACTACAGGCTTCATGCTGTGTGAGAATTCTCTGAGAAACAAAAAGACAGTCTAGGTCAACGAGAGAAGAGGGAAAAAAACCCACTTGGAACGGGGTTAATTCTCAATAACTCTGCAAATTGGAAGAGCTGATGGCAGGGGGATGCTCAGTCTGCACTTAAAGCAGTGTACATGTACATGTATACAACACTGGGGTGTTTTCAGATGACTGAATGAGACAGGATACGCAACCAATGCCGTGGGTCTCCCCTCTCTCCTGGTTCAAACTGGTTGTAATTGATTAATGAGAGATGAGGCAGGTCAGACATTTCTCACAAATAAATTCCACTGGAGGGATTCTGGAATTCAAGTACCGGTATTTGTTGATGTCTGAGGGAACCAGCAAATCTATTATGTGCAAGCACTCATAAATCTATTTCTAGTTTTCAATTTAAGATTCTGATACTCAACTTACAGAATATGTACAATGCATAAATTAATTACTGTAAAAAAAGAGAGAGTGATCCAGTCACATGTACATGTAAACGGCTAAACTGTGATTACACAATACATTTTGAACTACGTTTGCTTATTAGTACAAGCATCGTTACTGTATTACACATACACGTATGGGTGATTCACAATAGTGCACCTCCAAGACTTGCAATACGTTGACCAATCACAATGTACGAAATCTGTCGACCCAATGCGCGTTTAGAAAGGGTCAACAGATTACCGGCTCTGTGATTGTTCAACGGCATTGCAAACTCTTGGAGGGTGCACTTTTGTGAATCGCCCGTATTGCAAATAATCAAAATCTTGTCAGGAGAAATGGTAAACATACAACATATTAAATTTAGTACAATATTTGATTGCAAAGTATGTAAAACTCATAATATTTTCAAGGCAAAAGATTTATTAGTTGTTTTGCTACATGGTACCGGTATGTACACTTACGTGTATGGTACATGTATGCAGATCACGTACTGATACATGCACCTGTGCACTCTACATGTATGATGATGATAGGGCCATTAGAAATGGTGCAGATGTACACGTACACATGTACACAGTACATATGTGCAGCTTGGAAAAACTGGGTGGTTATAAAGTAAGTGTGACGTCACTTGGAACCAGGAAGTATAGTTTAACCAAATGGAGTACACCTCTATGTGTAACTCTTCATTCACGCGCTGGTTCTCGCGCTAATGCCTTTCACACACATCTTTGTGCATGTGACATATACATGTACATGTAAATACATGTATACATCCTTTATATTTAACATGTATCACTGGCTTGTGCAGTTATCTATACATGGATCTCAAAAACTAGATATGCAAGCATCTTGATGTGAAATGGGCATACATGTACATGTATCTTTAACGGGACAAAATGTCTACACAAAGCTGTAATTTAACCCACAGTGTTTCCGAGCCACATACACTGTATATCTGTACATATCCCGCACATGTACATGTACCATTTCTAATAGTCTCTGCTGAATCTTCTGAGTATGGGTTGTGCATGTATACATGTACATGTACAACGTACATGTCATTGGTACAACCATACATGTAGGTATCCATTACATGTATGGTACATGTGCCTCGAACAATTTGTACATGTAACTTGAAAGTGCCGGTAAAGCAGAGTTCAGTTCAGTTCAGTCACCATGTATCCATCACATGACACAGCACAAATACAATCCTGGTATACACGTATTAAACTTCTCTCTGCATAAATATTATTCATATAATACGCGCGATTTACAAAAGTGCGCCACCAAGAGTTTGCAACACGTTGGCCAATCATAACGCGCGAAATTTGTTGACCCTTTCCAAACGCGCATTGGGTCGACAAATTTTGTACATTGTGCCTGGTCAATGCGTTGCAAACTCTTGGTGGCGCACTCTTGTGAAACGGCAGTATTGTTTTGGGGCCGGACAGCCTGTAAAATGAAAAATATAAATGTACCTTACAGGGTAGCCTATGTAATACAAATGTGTGCAGAGCAAAACATGAAAGTTGATCCACAACTACATTTTCCAAATTTGAGCATCCCCCTCAAAACCATGGTTACGTTTATTAATGCATAACTTCAAATGTTAAGAAATAGAGAACCAATAAGACAAGTTTTCAAGTAGCCATTTTTTTGATTCAAAATACTGATATTATTACTGGTGACAGAAAGCAGAATTACAAGTAAACGCACAACGAAGCAAATAGTCCAGTAGGCAGTAGCATCACTTCCGTACTGTGTTCTTGATATCAAACCTTTTGTTTTACAAAAATAACAATAAGCTACATGTACCTTAGCAGTGCATGTTCATGTAAACTGTACATATACGTACATGTACATGGAGAAGCTTACTGTATGTATGACAAACAGGCATTGAGCTCAATGAGTACTCAATCATGTCAATTAGAATTTCTAGAAGCCTTCAAAATGTCACCCAGCTGCAACATGGCTTTCAATGTTTTTTCCCACAGCTTGTCAAACAATGAACTCTGAGCTCATTATTTCCTAGATTACTCGATCAATTATTTCGTGCTGGATATGCCACATGATCAAAACTGCCTTTCTATGAGTGACGTAAACTGCAACATAATCATGCCCTTGAGAATATGCCTAATCTCAGTCCAGGCACGAAAAACAAATCAAGTGCAGGCAAATGCTTGGAGCAAAAACAACATGATCAGCTACATGTACATGTCTGGAAATTGCAAGACATAAAAAAATGTATCCGTCATATACAGAGTAAATTTGCCAATGACTGAATGCTCACTTGCTTCATGGTTGATGCACGCTGCCTCCTTGTGTTGATTATGACAAAACAAAGGAGTGGCACGTCAGGGTTTCTGATCTGGACATGATGACAACGGCTTGCAGCAGTGGCCTCTTCTCAATCCATCGTTAGATTATGCCGTGTGTTGTCAGGTACATGTACATGTAGTACAAAGCAATGACTACACAATCCTAAGGCAGGGAGTGGATAGGGACGTTTCATGTATAATATCACACATTACATGTACTGGTATCAGAGGGTTCAAGATGTACATGTACATGGAGGATTGTTGTCAATTGCTTAGCAATTAGAGGGACCAATAGGTTTGTTTACTTTCTTTTGTGAAAAATATTGAGACAGCTGATTTTTGAGAAAGTTCTATACATCATGTACATGTAAGTGGATTCCATTTCCCTTCCTTCCCAAATTACATACACGTAGATGTATAAATGTACAGTACATGTAATTCATCTACATGTAAAGTGAACATCACAATCTGCCTCCTTTGGGAAAGATCATGGAACATCTGAAGTTGTCATCTCTCTGCAGCAGAAAACTCACTGCCAAGACAAATGTACATGTAGGGGTGTTAAACAATGTAAGAGCCAATAGTGTACATACAGTACGTGTACATGTAAAGTTACACGTACATGTAAAGTTACAGTACATGTGCATGTAAAGTTACAGTACATGTAAAGTTACATGTACATGTAAAGTTACAGTACATGTGCATGTACAGTTACAGTACATGTACATGTAAAGTTACAGTACATGTACATGTAAAGTTACAGTACATGTACATGTAAAGTTACAGTACATGTACATGTAAAGTTACAGTACATGTGCATGTAAAGTTACAGTACATGTGCATGTAAAGTTACAGTACATGTACATGTAAAGTTACAGTACATGTACATGTAAAGTTACAGTACATATACGCGTACATGTACATGTAGGAACTGCGTGCACGTACTGGTACCATAGCATTAGTTCATTTTTAATGTTGTGCACAATGCATAATTCTAAATTTGCTTTCACAGAGGTAAGTCTGCATCGACTTACCTCATGTATTAGTGATGTAAAAACACAGGAACTACCCGGTATGAGTGGTAAAGCACTGAATTCTTCCTTTCTTTGAAGAAGAATATCATCTGAGAGCAGATTCATTTAGGAAATGTAAAGCACAACTCTCCACACTTTTCATCTGATACCAGTAATTTGCAAAACACATTTTTACATGGCTGCAGAAAAAACTGAGTAGCATTTAAAATTGGGTGACATTTTACAATTCAATCCAAGGGAATGTGTCTGGAGCATTCTTTTGATGGTGATGTGCTTTAAGCAATACTTCTCTGAGATGTTGATACAATCAAGCACTCAAGCTCAGCCAATAAAGAACACATTCCATCTCCAGTTTATTGTCATGGTAACAGATATAAATGGTATGACAGCAGAAGGTTAGCTACTGTAATTCTTGGCTAGGCTTTTCTGGAAAGAATGGATACTAAAGGGGTATCTGAACAGGTTTCTCCTCTGCTACAAGTCCACACATGTACACACATATAGGAGTAGATAGTACATGTACATGTACAAATACTGGTACATGTATGTATGACAATGCACTAACCTTACATGTACATATACATTTATACCTACAGTACTAGTAGTGTGGACTTCTGAACAGAAAATGTCCACAAGATGCAGGGAGGGAAGATGTTCTGTGGACTTACTGTATCCATGCATGTCCACAGGACGTTTCCCTTCTCTGAAAAAGAGCTTTAGAGGCATGTTAGGGTTGTCTGTCACAAGGAAGAGGAACAGTCAAGGAAACATTTTACAAAAATCTAGCTGAAAATTGTGTTTCAGTTCAAGAAAAATGCGTATTTTCACTGAGTTTTCTTAACTACATGAAAACAAAGGAATGTCCACGCTACATGTACATGTACATACAGGTACATGTACATTAAAGTACACTGAAATGTACACATGTTCAGTGTATAATGTACTGTGTGCATGTACTTGCATAGTCATGGAAGGGAAGCCAAAGTTGTTTGTCTTGTTTAGTGGCAGTAACAAGTGGCAGAAATGTGCCCAGGTCTGTATGTCATTCACAACTACTTGTACATGTACCGTACATATTAGTATGGCAGTTAAGGCATTCCTACCAAACATGCCAAAACATCGCCAGAGGGATATTTGAAAAGAATAAAGTATAACTGTACAGACAAAATCCTTTGAAGTATATAATTAACAAACCCACAAAGGTACTTATGGGTACATGTGCTTGTAGGATGTTTATGAATAGGAATAAATATGGACCTAAAGACCTACATGTACTCAGCCTGAGAAAAATGGATGCTGATAGTCCCTGATGACCTGCAGCTCGGACAATTATCAGCATTTGTTCTCCTAATCCAGTAAAAAACAAAAATGTTTAAGACTGGCTAAGCACATACTGGTATTTAGTCCCTTACAATATGGAATGATGCTCAGTTAAATTTCATACTGTCCAAAATCTATACTGAATTTTGCTACAAGACTGCAACTGCAAACACATACATATGTAAACTGCTGACTGCAATGGCTGTCCTTCTATTACATGTACATGTACATGAATACATGTGGCACTGTTTGTTAATCCTTAGCCACAGCATGTACCGGTAGGTACAGTACATGTATCGATGCCTGTGCATGTATCTAGATCACATGGGATTTCACGCTACATGTACATGTACTTCAAAGCAGCGTTGTAATGGGTCGCTAAATTTGTTGACTTGAGTCGAGTCATTTTAACATTGTGACTTGAGTCATTAGGTCAAGAACTCAAGTCAAATTGCCTCACATATTTTGGAAAAAACACAATAAAAACACAACTACATTTTGTGGTATATTTTCCATGCATAAAGGAAGACAGAAAGACCAGTGTGTGCTGTTCCCATGCTGTGTAGACATCCTGTACTATGTATTCATGACTGATATAAGAGCAGTGTCGTGAGTCCGATTTCACATGAGTATTTTTGCTATAATATTTTGCTTTTAATTTTTGAGACTCAAATCTTACAAGCTTGGACTTGAGTTGAGTCTCCAAGAGAAATTTGTGTTGAGTCATTTGGTCGAAGAGACTCAATTTGAGTCGTTTACCCACTGGTACTCAAGTCCAGTCACCAAGAACTGTGACTGAGACAGACTCGAGTCGTTATTGACATTGACTAGAATCATTACCAATGCTTTAAATAGTGCCTAAATCAGTCGCAAATGCGACCAAAATTTTGCTAATGCGATCATATTTTCACCATCCAGTCCCCATTCGCAACTTAAAATAGCTTAATAACTACTTAAAAATCAAGCTGTACTTGTACATGTACATATACCATACTTTACATGTACGTGCGTCGCGATCATGCGCACGGTTTGGTTGGTTCCCAATCTAAACATACTGTACGTTGTTGATGCACTGTATACAGACACTAGGGCCATTTTACAAAGCATGACATGGCATGGGCTCCATTTTTGCTGCTTTTCTGCTGTAACGTAAATGAAACCAGAAACGGAGCTCATGCTAGAAGTAAACGGTGTTGCTGTGATTTAGAGTGTCAGAAATACCGCGATTCATGCAGCAGGGTGTCCTGCGACACGCTGGAACTACGGACATCATAACGTCGGTAGCTGAACCCTTGGTGAAAACCCTGATTTCGTGGATTGACCTCATTGGCGCTTGTATGCAAGTCATGTGGTGGACATGTGTCGCACCAAGTCATGATTCTTCGGCATGGATGGACGATGTAAACACAGGGTATTTATACTACATGTGTGTACGTACCGGTACGTTCATGAATATTCAGCACAGTTGATAACTAAACTTCATAAAAAAGCTGGTGTGTAGATTTTTCCCCACTAGGAGCCAATGGCTACCAAATACTGTTTTTTTTTGTTCACAGGGCTGGTCATTACAACTCTGCTTCAAAGCTTAGTATTCAAACTATGCCACTATTTGCTGCTCTTGAATGCAAGAAAATGACAAGATGTACATGTACAGTACATGGCGCTTTCACTGAAGATCACCCGACTGTAGTGAAGCCTTCTTTTGCGTGTTTTTCAGCTTCTAAAGAAATTCTCTTTGCTGAATATTATTGGTATACTGCACATGTACATGTATGTAAGGGGAAAAAAGACATACACAATGTTATTACATCATTATGCTGTAAAAATTGAAAGGAAAATTTGTTCACAAGAATATAAGGTTATGCGCTGCTGGCACCTCCAAGGTCTCTCCAAGGCTGTTTTCGTAGTTTAGTTACTGTACAATAAATGCACAGATGGTTTACTCAAGCCTATCCCTGTAATACAAAACTCTCGCTGTCTGAGGATTAAAGTTAAAGTATAACCTTTTTTCCATGCATTTTTTTGACGTACGATCAACTATGCTGCTCTATTTTTAGCAGCAAGCATCCACTACCGGTGTATCATGTACATGTACCTGCACATTTACATAAATGTAACTTTTTTCGACATTGAAAGACTGTGACACTGTGGAAAAGCAATTAAAACAAAGCAAATCATCAGCCTCAGAAGTAATAGAACCACTGGCATACCACCTGGAATTTCATTGAATACAGTGCATCTGCCCAGATCAATGATAATCAACTTGTCTTATCATATGCTGCTGGATTCATTGATTGACTGCGGCAATCAAAATACAATTAATGTACATGTACATGTAAAAGCAAAATACACAACACATGCACACATGTGCACATGCACACATGTATGAATCACAACACTATTAACATAGAGTTTATACATGTACATGTATGTACCGGTGCGTGTACAATAAAGTGCAAGTTGTGCATGTACATGTCAATGTAACTCTAAATGCACAAGGGTTTCTGTACATGTATATGACTTGTAGCATGTCAAACACAACATACCAGTACATACACGCATGTTAACCAAATTTACACCAGGACATGCCCTAGTGGAACTTTATGTGTGTGACTGTGCATGCATATCGGTATTAACATGTACATTGTACAATACTGGGTATACTGCTACACAGACATGAGCTGAATACATGTATCTACATGTATAACAAATCAGTCACATGAGTGTCGGTAATTACAGTACTGGCCCCTAGCTATTTCTGTGAAACTAGATATTTTTGGCTATCCCTGGCGCATATACCCGGTACATG